AGTTATCAACCGCACAATCAACAATGTTTTAAAACATGATTTAAAACAATTCAAAATTCATTAAAAATCATTAAAAACCGTTTTTTTGCCATCCCTAGATGTAGCAACGTTTGACCGTAATTTAAAATTGCTTGACCTTACTGCTGACAATCTTTTGTACAGGAACATTACCACTTACTGTTTCAAATGGTAGACTCTCTTTTCTATTTTGGATTCCACCTTTCAGGTATTTCGAATATATACAATTTTTTTTTTTTTTATAAAGACGTATATAACAATAACAATATAAATGCATGTTCTGACGCAGTTATGTCTTTGCTGGTAAAAAATTTGGAATCATGACCGCGACAATTACGTGTATTATTTATTTTTATGAAATTTTTTGGTAATCACCCTTATTTATTTTTTTATACTGTCAAGTGACTACATTAATTCAACATTATATAAATATTTTTATTGATTAAACAGGCCATCTGCTGGAGCTTCCCTGGTCCGAGGGATTTTTTATCTCGTGCTTGACCTTGTCATGCCCATTCTGATGTTTACGCTTTTATCTACTTTTGCCTTTATTGATAGACATGCTGAAGAAGTATTTTAATTTCATTTTATTATGTTTAGCTTTTATTTTTTAATTCTTCCTTCCGTTAGGTTAAGGAAGCGAATCGATCAAGATCTGTGTTCCTGCAAACTATCAGTCACGGTATGTATGAAAACGGATGTCCGGAGCGAAGTCATATGAGATTTATTGCGTTACACAATATGCAATGGGACAGACTGAATTTTTCCAAATCATACATTTTTTACAGTTTTGATTTGAAGCTATGAATTAATTAATTAGATGCATCAAAAACATACCATTTGGTGACTTATGTTGTCCTTCGCTACGCTCCGGACAATAACAATTGCATTCAATTTTCTACATTTGTATCATGCCCTCATCTTTTTTATCATTTTGAAGAATTGAGAACTCCCGTTCACGGAATTTTGGCTAGCACGGAAATTTTTCTCTCTTCTCCTCTAACTTCTGCCCAACGAGCTTTAATATCTGCTATCCAAAATTCTGGTATTAATGTCATTCATATGGCTGATCATATTTTACGTGTCGCCAAATCTGTTAGTTTAACAATATTATCTGAATGTACTGTATCTATTCTATTTAAAATCTTTTCTTATATTTATTTCTTTTTAAATTTAAGGATGACCTCAGTAAGCAATTTACAATTTAAATATCTATTATTCACTTTATAATATTTAATCTTTGATTAACGGAAATAGATGTCATGAGAGGAATTATCCATGAAACTATGCCTTTTGATTTATATAAAGCAACTGAACAAATTACTGATGGTATAAATTACATTTTATTTTTTTCTTAAAAATTTCAAAATAAATTCATCCTTTTCTTTAATAATGCTACACTAGGAATGGAGCTCCTATTTGAAACTAAAGATATAACTTTTGAATTTGAATATAGAATACCATTACAACAGTCTATGTTTATTGGTGATGTCGGTGCAATTAAACAAATCATTATTAACGTAAATAATTTAACGACCATCCTACGATAACATTTTGTTTTCTTTGCTTAATGAATTTTAATCTTTTCATATTTCATTTTTATATATTGATACAGTTATTGGGAACTGTGGTATGTATAATTATAAAATACCTTTCTATGTGTTGCTAGTACTTGATTAGTACGTTTTTTCATAGTTGAGTCTTGGTCGCCTTGCACAAATTACGCTCAATGTCGATAGTCGTCTTAAAGATTCCATTGAGAAAATTTTTACCGTAGAATTTGATATAATGGCTGAATATAAATTTCTAGTTCAAGGTGAAAGTTCTACCCAGGTAAGATTTTAGAAAAATTCTGATGTTATCGATGCTTTTTTTCATTATTGCTTTTATAATTACCAGAGAACTCCATCCACGGAATATTTATCCAAGTTTGCCCCACAACTTTGGTAAAATTTTATACTAATAATGGTTTGACTAATGTCCTAGTGTCGCAGGCTAAACCGAAATATTTCATCTTGGTGAAATATTTCTCTTTGGCGAAATATTCTGTAACACTAACTATTTGTTGCGGACTAAACTGAAATGTTCGAAATATTTAACCACTTAACTCTGGTGAAATATTTCGGCTCTTAACGATAAGCTTGATAATTTGCTTTCTAATTATTATAATAGCTTCATCGAAACACTTGTTGACACGCTTGGTGGCTCTTTCACGTTTAATGGGTCGGGTGATTTTAGAACTCCCTTTGTGATTCAACTCGACTTACCTTTAGCTGAAGATACCAATCCTAATATGAATACGAAACCAATCCCTCTTCGTTATTTCATAAAGGAATTTGAAGACATTGATCCAAGAAATTTGCTTAGAATCGGTATTGTTCGAGCACATGACAGTATTGTTACACGGATGGCTCTAGCTTTTCTCCATGAATTTGAAATGCAATCATTAAAAATCATTACTCCTAATGATATTCCTTCATGTGATATTAACGTTCTTATTTTTGATTCAACCGAAACTACCAATGAAGTTAATGAGACTATATGTAAAAATGCTCGGGAGGCTCACGTCTTAATTATTAGTATTACATTTCTTTTAAAGCACTTAACTATCTGTGATACGGCGCAAAAAGTGGGATTAGATGATGGTGAGGTTTACTTTGTCGCCAAGGTACTAAATGCTTTTATAATTAGTATTACCATATGTTTTGAGTTTTTAGAATTCGAAAGTGCATAGGATCGATTTTCCGTTCGCATGATAAATAAAATTTTGTGTGTTAAATTGCCAAGGTTTGAGCTTGAAAAACCCGCGTTATAAAGAAATTTTACAACGAAATTTTTATGGTGCAAAACGTATCTTACTGAGTTAATTTTTTTTTCAAAACGAAATAATTATACATTACACCTCGAGTTGGATCGTCATGTGAACAGACAATCGACCCTATTCCCTGGTGTTGTTTTTTAGTTTAACTCAATTTTCATTAATAGCCTTTGACCAATGTGAAATTTTGGAACGTACTATTTTCTGTGGCTGATGTTATAAAGAAAAGAACTCGTAATATCGAAAGTGCAACAGATTCTGAGCAAGATTATCAAGGTGAGATTAGTATATATTATTTATATTTTAAATACATATTAAAATAATATTTTTTGGTGAAAGCATCAGGTTCTCATCAAGGTGAAACGAGTGAAATATCAGGAACTAGTGAGGAATTAAATTTCTCTCTGGATTAAACTAGTTAAAAATTAGTATAAGGTGAGATGTGTAAAAAAATTCATGTCAACATAGAACTGCAATACATAGAAAATATTAACAGTTAATGCAAACGTCTGTACTTACATAATATACATATAATCTATAATATTATATTATTACGTAGAATAAAATATATACCGTACATATCACAATATGCATTTTTAACAATGACTTCTAGTTTAAAGAACAATATTGTGTTTATATATGTATAAGATTCATACTTGACATCTTTACTTACCATATAGCAAAAAATAGCCATTTTAGTAAAAATTTTTTTTAAAAACGTATATTTTAAAATATTTATATATTTATAAAATAAAAGATATATAATTAGATATTTATAAAAATTTAGCTTGCACTAGGTACTTCAATAAATTTATTTACTGCTAGAAAAAAGAATTTTAAGAATTAATTGTTTGATCTTCTATAGCTTGCAATAAAAACACAATATAAAAGACAGTATAGTTAAGTTTAAATCAATTTGATCTTGAACTATCCGTTATACATGTGAAGTTACTATATATTAAAATATAAATTTAAGACTTATATTTTAAGAGATAATATGTTTACTCACGTTTACTGGTTTAGAAGATTTTGAAAATTTAAAAGTTAGCTTGTATAAATAGCTTGCTTATATGTTTGATAATTAAGTCAATTTTGCTTGATTGTATTGTTATATTAGTAGAATATATTTTATATATATTTTATTAGTATATTTTTAGTATTAGTTTATTAGTAAAAATTTTAACATTTAGTATTATTTTAGTATAATATTAAAATCATTATCTGGTATATTATTTGGTATATTACAGTATTTTATATTATATAATATATTATCTTTTTTTGCTTTTTGTTTTTTTGCTTCAGCAATCCTTCTTTTATTATTTAAATTGGTGTAGAATATAATGAGTATACAATATACAAATAGAGATTATCTTACCTTATAAACTATATATGTCTGTATTAATAAAAAATTACTTAATTATTTATAACAAGAACCTATAAATAAATTCTGTTAAAAAGAACCCAGATACAACCTACCTAAATAGCTTATATTTATCTTGTTTGAGATTTTTAATTTACTAAGAATTTAAACCTTAGAAGTTTATAGTAGGTGTTTACCAATCTTGTTAGAATTACTACTCTATATAACATATTATCAATCTAATAAAATATTCTTTAGCAAAAATTATAAAAAGCAAATAGAATAAAAAAAAATATAAGAAAAGTGTAGCAACTTAGTAAAGTTGGTAAGTTGTCACACTTCTAAGTAGCAGGACAAGAGTTCAAATTTTACTGGTGATGAAAATTCAAATTTATAAAATGTATTTGAAAGATTGTATCCTATTGGGTTAGTATTTATAATGAGTTATACAGTATTAGTACTAGTTTGTACTGAAAAGCTGTAGAAATACTATATAATGTATAAGTTATATAATAGTAAAGCAGCCAAGTAAAACCAGCAAATTGAAATATTCCTTAAATTATAATACAGACAAATTTGCTTGTATTTATTTTTTTAAACTCTAATTTTTTAATAAAATCTTAAATATTAATTTTAGCAATATATTTTCTAAATAAAATATATTTTTAAAGATCTACTTTATTAACTTTATTAAGAAAATTTTTGGATCTTCTTTAGTATAGATAGGTACATATAAATTATTACAAGATTATAATATATAAAACTTAACTAATTTGAGCCAATTTAAATTCTAACCTTAATCTTGACTCTAATAATTTATAAAATTACTTAAATTAGTTCAAAATAGTTAATTTATATATTTTATAATTGTATAATAATTATATATGCCTACTTATACTAAAGATTAACTAAATAAATCTATATACCATACCCTGCGATATGCTAATTCATCGCATATATATAAATTATATAATTTGTAATCTGTGTCAAAACAATTTTGTATAAAATTAATTAGATTAAGATTAGAAAACTAAGGTTAGAGTTAGGTAAGGTAGAGTTAATATATACCAAAATTTTGTAAAAGATTTGTTTGTTAAAACACGAAAAATAGGTTTATAGACAAAATTTTAAGATATTACTAAATATCATTTTTGTTATACAAAATTAATTTGTGTGTTTCAAATTTAATTAGTTAGGTGATACATATCTATAACAAAGAGGTGCAAAACTTAGAAAACTTTTTAATATAAAAAAAATCTAAAAACAAATTTAAAATCTATAAGAAACTATAGTATTACTAAAAAAAAAAGCTATTAGATAAAAACTTCTATCTATACAAAGTAATAAACTATTTATATTAATTAGTGATTCACTAGTTAATTAGAAAAAGGTCATAGTATAACGTAATATAGTTTATATATAGAAATTAGAATTTTGTAAATGTGGGCTATATTATTCTAAAACTTTTTTTTATATTAAGTTAACTACTTTTGGGCTTCTAATTAAAGTTATAGAGCTTATTAAGAAGAATCTAATAGTAGTTGAATCGTCAAAATTGGCCTTATAAATTATGAGATATCTTCAAAAAACATTTTGCTAACTATGTAAAATTCTTTTTCTACAATAGTATTGTTAAAGAAGAATTTTACATAGTCGCTGAACCATTTTTCAAAGATATCTTGTGATCTATAAAGCTGATTTTGATGATTCAACCACCATTAAGTTTCTCTCAATGAGCTCTACAACTTCAATTAAAAGCCCAAAAGTGGTTAATTTAGTATAAAAAAAAGTTTTAAAATGATATAGCCCATATTCACAAAACTCTAATTTCTATATATAAACTATATCATGTTATACTATAACCT